TAAAATTTTTGGATAGATCATGACGGTAAGAAAAAGTATTGAAAGTTTTGGAATCGTCGCAATCTCGAAAAACATGGGATCGGTGCATCTCGTGACGATTTTGGGAGGACTTATCTTGCCTGGGTCTCGACTCTTTCGGTTTTTTCTGTTTGCATATCGCCGATATATCGTTATGATATGTCGGCGATATTAAACCGGAAAAAAACGAAAAAGTTGAGACCCAGGCAAAATAAGTGCTCAAAAAATCGTGACGAGATGCACCGATCCAATGTCTTTCGAGATTGCAACGATTCCAAAACTTTTGATGTTTTTTCAAACAGTGATGATCTATACAAAAAATTTCTGGTGTAGTCTCGATGGCATCACTAATTTGTTCACAATAAAATAGATACACTTGACTGAGCACATCCCGGGGCCGAATTGCCGATGCTGTTGAATCAGCCAAGCTTCGGCCTAGAATCGGCATGCCAAGTTTTGGCGGCCTACTCACGGCCAAACATCGGCTTTGGACTGGCATGCCAAGTCTCGGCGACCCCTTCATGGCCAAATATCGGCTGAACGTTAAATGGCCATTCATCGAATACCAAGTCTCGACCAATAATTGGGTAAACTTTAGTGATGCCGTCGAGATTACACAATAAAATTTTTGGATAGATCATCACGGTCAGAAAAAACAGAAAATTTTGGAATCGTCGCAATCTCGAAAACCATGGGATCGGTGCATCTCGTCACGATTTTGGGAGGGCTTATCTTGCCTGGGTCTCGACTTTTTCGTTTTTTCTGTTTTTATATCGCCGATATATCGTTACGATAAAACAGAAAAAAAACGAAAAAGACGAGACCCAGGCAAAATAAGTGCTCAAAAAATCGTGACGAGATGCACCGATCCAATTTCTTTCGGGATTGCAATGATTCCAAAACTTGTGATGTTTTTTCAGGCAGTGATGATCTATTCAAAAAAATTATCGTGTAGTCTCGACGGCATCACTAGTAAACTTCAGACCGAGACTTGATAAGGGTCAAAAAGGAAAGACAAGTTAACCGATCCGAAGTGTTAAATTCTCATTAGGGTCACTGTCTAGCAGGGAAACCGGGCACAATAATCCAATGGGCCAAACACTCACAAGGGTCACGAGGGTCATAAGGATCAAATAGGGGTAATAGCAAACCTACTTGTCAAAAAACGTGTAAACGGATGCTAAGGGTCAAACGATCATAAGGTATGTAAGGTTCAAACTCGAGACCTTAAGTGTCAAACACTTAAAAGGGTCAAATTATGATAACGGTCAAGCGGGGGAAATAATTAGAAGCATGAACAATTTTCAATTTATACAAATCATCGCAGAGAAAAAAAATCTTTGTTTTCCATATTCATAAACACAAATTCATTCACTTCCATTCTTGGGAATGCTGTAATCTTATTATTTATTGATTGTTAAAAAATAGGCTGCTTACCATATCTATATTAAGTTTCATCATTAAAGAAAATTAGAGAATCAAATAAGGATCCAATATTTCATTCATATAGCCGATAAACTTCTTCGTAACTAACAACTCAACGATGGCCGAGTGGGTAAAGTCAAATAGCTACCCGGAAGGTTCCAGGATCGAATCCCGACGAGTTCAACTTTTTACTTATCATTATCAGCGGTTATCGATTTCTTTAGGAAAGAACAGCCAAAGAATGTAAATTAAATCGTGAAAAAATAATGCATTAATTAATTTTTTCAACTATTAAAAATGAGTATTGGATGGGTCACGGGTACTGACCATCGGCCGACGCTTGGCAACAAATACCGGTCCAACGGTATCAAACCAATAGCTAGCCGAGGCTGGGCCCAGGCCGATTGAGGGTCGGCAGCCAAGGCTCGGCTGTTCGGCTGCTCGGCTGCCAGTACTGGCCCAATCTTGGCCCGATTGACTTTTCGTCCCTGGGTATATCGTCACAGGTCATGTTCATAAAAAAACGTTCACAAAACGAAACTTGATTTGACTTTGGTGAGTGAAATAATGGTTTCGACATCCCTGTCCAAGAATTGAGGCCCTTAAATTTACCCTCCATCAGAAAATTCATAGAAAAACTTCTCGTCTTATAAATTATTTGCATTTCAATTTTACATTTCACAAAAAAAATATTGAAGATTGATGCTGTTGTCACCACCAGAACTCTAGTCCAAAGTCGATAATATCTTATCCCCAATATATTGACACTTACCCATCATCTACCCGAAGATAAAATACCATTCGGTATCGCAAGTATAATTTTGCGAAACCGTAATTATCATTGACTTGAACACAAACTCCCAGCAATTAGCGCCCTCCTCTTCCCTCTTTGTGTCATACATATGTTATTGGTACATTCGATGTTGATGTCAAGATGGTCAGACGACGCATCCAGACCGATTTATCGATGCAGATTGATTTAGAGTGCTCAAGTCTCGACCATCGTTGTAAGATTACACCTCGCCTCTCTCTTTCCTCGCCCGCCGGTGCAAGTTTTACCCGAGGAAGACGTAAGGCACTTGGATCAATGTTGATAACAAACTTCAGCATTTATTCACGAAAAAAGATACAAACATTACTCAACAATTTATTGCTATATTTTTTTTATCGCGTTCAACTAATTAATATGCTATTTCATTAGACCTAATGACATTCATGTGATCGTTTTAAGATAGGGTAAAGAGAGATAAAAATAATAATTGAGAGTGAAAGTCTAACGTGGTATCTATCACAAGGGATTGTGGAATCCTCTTCGTCCTCCAGACGTGACCCAACTCTGACGCACCTGTCCGTCACCACAATAAATATGCAGATGTGAACGTATATGCTCACCCTTTTGTGCGACACGTTCCTTTTAACTACAATCTACCTCGTGTTATACTACTGTCGTAGTAATTCTATAATTTTTGAGGAATTTTATTCGTCCCGGGGTTATAACATTTGAAAATATACTGAGAGACATGTGTTTGCCTTCAAATTATATGTGATTAAATTTTCAAACTAATTGTCTCAGCGGTTCGTTATTGATTCAAATAAAACTGGGGGAAATTGAATTTAAAAAATGCCCAAAAATGTCCATTTTTCGTAAATTATGCATCTTTATGTTACTTGAGAGTGATCGAAAATGAAATAGAATCAGCTCACTGATTATTCAGTCAATTCAGTGAAAGTTTTAGAAGTGTCTTTCGATAGATATGAAAAAAATATACATAGCAAAATAATCAGAAGATGGTTGTTTTGATCCGTGATGATGGGCCACACACACTCTAACCCACCTCTTATGATTGTCGCATAACTGGCCTGTTATTTTATCTTAATCAAATGTCAAGAAGAATGTTTTATTAACATGAAAACGTTAAGTAAACCTCCTTTAACATTCAAAATTCATAATATCTTATTTTTAATAGACTGTGAAGTACATTATAACCCTGGCGGATCCCCCGATTGAGATTCGATCGACTGTCGATTGTAGAATCGAGTTGATCAGTATATCGATTCGTATGCGAGTGTAGTTCGATTCAGATCTCAGATTATTGATGGAATCGAGGATAAATCGACTTCATAGGAAGTCGATAGCTAGTGAATTTCGAATGACAAAAATTTATTGCACCAAAACTTGAACGGCTCATGTGGTGGTCGATTATGAAAGACTCCTTACGGTCGGACCAGGATCGACTTGAAGAAAGTCGATTGTGACTCGACTGTCCTCGTTATTCAAGTCAATCGACCCACAATCGACCAGTTGTTTAGTCGTTTCATAATAGTTTTCATAATTCCAGTGGGCGAATCGACTGATCCTTGAGTCGATTATTCCTCGATTGAGTTCATATCATTCACTTGTATGAAACGACTCAATAATTGGTCGATTGTGGGTCGATTGATGTGAATAATATGCGGGCAATCGCGTCACAATCGACTTTCTTCAAATCTATCCTGGTCCGACCGTAAGGAGTCTTTCATAATCGACCACCCCATGAGTCGTTTAAGTTTTGGTGCAATAAATTTTTGTCATTCGAAATTCACTAGCTATCGACTTCCTATGAAGTCGATTCATCTTCGATTCCATCAATAATCTGAGATCTGAATCGAACTACACTCGCATACAATCAACAGATCCGCCAGGGAAGAGTTAACTGTAGGACAAAAAATACCATGCTTGAAGAACCTTGGATTTCCTCTTTTATTATGGTTATACACGAACGATCATAAGGGAAGAGTGATAAGAGAGACGGAAAATGTACAAAAAAATGGAAAAAGGAAAAAAGCGTGAGAGGAAAAGTTTTCAATCGGGCGTCGAAGAGCGCGCACGAGCACCTCCCAACGTCTTTGTAACTAACCGCAAAAGCAGGTCTATACACCGCACCAAAGGAAAGAAGGTGTAGATCCATTCCTATCGCGTTTCCTGGTTTACTTACATTCTTTTTTTTTTATGTCTTTCACCTCTCCTCCCTCCCCCTCCCTCTATCTGTGACTCCGATCTGCAGTTACGCAGCCAGAATTTTTTTCGTCGAGTACAAATGCAGAGATGTATAAACGTTTGGAGACAAAAGCCCTAACGAGTAGGAAGCAGAGAAGAGAGACAGAGTTTCGATCGGCGATTGCTTAAGACTGTGACGACTGAATTATTGATAGGCTGTACGGTGACAAAAATAAAGAACCTAACGATTATTCGGAGAAATGCGAGTTCGCCAACGATTTATTTAATAATAGAAGTGGATATATTTAGAGAAGATTGGAAAGCGAATTCACTTCAATATTTTTTTTATATTGACAATGTGAACATCAGACCAGTATAAGAACATATATGTGAGAGATTATTTTTGCAGTTTTTCCAAGTCATATGATCTAGTATGTCTTTTTTTCATTCGCAGAACTGAATAATTATCTTGCAAAATCGGGTGAGCGTTGGAGGGACTTGATGGTAAGCAGATGTTTACATTCAACAATTATTACAAATGGGGAAAAGAAATAGTGGTGAAATAAGAAAAAAATCTTACCGGCCGCTCTTAGTGATGACCATTTCGGTTCCAAGTTTGTGGAATTTTTCCCAGAGCTCTTTACCCTCAAGGGTAACCTTGGGATCATCAACAACACCATCATCCTCGGGAGGATGAGGTGGTACGAGATGATGGGGTGCAGCCAGTGGATGATGGGGTGCCAGAGGTAGTGGTGATGAGTGCATCATGCCCGGTGGCAGTGGCAACCTCAGTGGCCTCATGGTTGGTCCACCTGGCCCACCCTGATGGTGGTGATGTAGAGCTGCTGCTGCGGCTGCCAGGACGGCAGCGTTTGCTTCCTCAGGCGTGTGAGGACCGAGTCCAAGACCTAGAGAGAAAAATCGCAAAGTTGAGAATAATGAAGCTAATACAATAGAATGAGCAGCAACATTCAATGCTTTGTTACACTGAGAGAAAAATATAATTCTGCCAAGCAGATATGTTTTTGACAAGAATCTATGGGAAGATTTTGTATGGAAATTTCGGGCATCTGTTTGTCTGAAACAACTTTGATTGGCAGAATTATATTTCTCAGTGTAATAGTCACACAGTAGGTTCTGCACGGAGAAAAAAATTCCAGAATTTTTCAGGAGAAATTCAGGCAAAAATTACCGTGCCGTCTGGTAAAGTGGGTTCAATTGTCTAGCACCAGAAAAATTCCGGTGCTGCATAGTGAAAATTCCGGTACCGCACAGTAAAAGCTTGATCTCTGACTGTTTTTTATTACATGATAAATTACATTCAATAGTTAAAAATGCATAAACATTGTCATTTAGCATATCATCCTATTAATTTTATATTAACCTCTTCTCCATATTCTCTCGCCCATATTAAAAGCAGAATGCGCGGCAAACGTTTGACAAGCCAATCCCACGTACGAAAAAACGAATGGGCCGAGCTTGGCCCAAGCCCGGTGGCCGGCCTGCCGAACTTCGGGACCCGTTCCTCAACCGGGACCGCGCCGGACTTGGTTGAAACCTGGAATGATAACATCGGGCCAGGTCTGGGCGCCCATCTCGGCCCAGCGTTGATTGCCAGTCGTTGGCCAGGCTCAATTAAACATTACTTAATTACATGAATATGATAATATGGGTGATTGAAATACAAGTAATTTAATATTACTCCTCAGCATTCGTAATAGGTTCAACGAGGAAAAAAAATCAATACCGGCATGCGACTGGTGCCGCACTGGCTGCCAAACTGTTCATGGCAATTATCAATAATAACAAAAACAAAATAATTAACATTTTTTAGGATGATTTTTAGTATTGATTGTGCCCTACCTACCAAACCCTAACGCAATCATCGCTGAAAAACCGATTTTGTTAACTTAAAATATTACCCCCTAACGTGGGCTCGAACCCACGACCTCACGACTACTAATCCGACGCCCTAACCACTAGTCTACCGCGCAATTCGTAAAACCTCTACTTCAAATCTTCCATATTAATTCCATCTCGGTTTTTTTCGACTTGAATGTTTTATCATTCAGTTGATAGAAATATTAAGTGATTCAACTACAGTTTAATCGGTAAATTAATTCAATAATGAATAATAATAATTATTATTATTAATTACAATAATAATTATAACAATTAGGATTACTGTTGAATGACGATTCTTCTTCTTTTCGTAATAATTAGCGAGTAACATGTGACTTCAACACCTACAATGTCACCATTTTTTTACGATTACACCCTTAATATTTTACCCTCAAGTTTCCACCCTTACCATTCAACCCTCAGAATGTCAGTCTTATGATTTTTTCGCCCCTTTCCATTATTGCGATTTGACCCTTACAATTTTACTCTTCAGATTTTACCCTTATGATTCCACCCCTATGATTCCATTCTCATCATCTCACCCTTACGACTTAACCCTTACAGTTACACCAACGGCTGGAGCCCAATGACCAAGCTCCGGGCCACCTCTGGCTGAGGCTTGGTTATCGAGCTCCGGCATGCCAATGTCCGGCCAAGGCTGGGCCAGATCTGTCAACCAAGGCTCGGTTACCTGCTCTTCTCCCGAGACTCAAGCCCTGGTCCCCAGGGATGGCCGAACCTCGGTCCAAGCCTGGGCGCCCAGGCTTGGCAAGCCCAAGCTTGTGCCAGGCTTGGCCCGTTTCTCCAACACTGGCATTTCGTACGTGGGATGTATCTCTACAGCGTTATACACCTCATGAAGAGAAAATAAGGGGCACTTATTTTATTTCTTAATCATTTTATCATAACACTAATTAATATTTCACTGAATTGATATTATGAAAAACATTAACCTGGGGTTTCAGTAAGGAGATATGTGAGAGAGGAGGCTAGAGGAGGCGACGGAATAAATCATCTGATCACGTTGAGTTGATGTTCGTGGTTGCGGAGGGGGGACGAAGAGTGCCGAAATCTTACGAATGCGCGATCGGGTCCTAGGATTCTGGTAGAGCACCGGAAAAATTTGCCAGCCAGTGTCATAATTTTTCTCGTATTTCTCGTAAAAATTCACTGTCGCTTCGATTTTACCGTGCTGCATAAGAATATTTCCCCGCATTTATCCGAAAAATGACTCGTGCAATAGTACTTTTTCCTACTCTTTGCGGTACATTTCGCCTGGAAAGACCATCTGAACCCACTTTACTGTATGAGCACGGTAATTTTTCTCGTACATTTCTCTCCGTGTGGTACTAATAACCCAAGACTTTAAAATGCTTGGAAGGTATTAGAATGTTTTTATATAGAACTGTTGGGTAAGTGAAGACAATGTCAAGTTGTGGTTGACATAATCTTTAGTATAGAACACGTTATAGTTCTCGACAAAATTTGACGTTCTTCATTCTTGAGGTAAACACGTGATGACGGATTTCTGTCCATTTTCTGAAGATGGAATTTTTTCATGTTCAAAATTCTCTATTTTTCATACTAATGAGGGAACATATAAAATCAAAATGTCTGTTAATTGTGAAAAATTAGCTGTAGTAGCTTTCACGAAATTGAATGGCCAAATGTTTTCTTGTACTAGGCTTCATGATTTTTATCAACATGAAAAAGATAACTTTGACTATCAATTGAAGAAAAACTGAAAATTTTTCGAGTTCTTCCAATTTTTGTTTCTGAACGGAAGCTTTGTAAATGCCCAAATTTAAATTTCCAATTTTATGTATTAGGGTAACTAAATGTGGTGTAAAAAGTCCGAATATGCAATTTTTAGATTGTGTCTGTATGTCTGTATGTATGTGGTATTTTTTCTTCACTTTTTTTGTCGACATTTTCTTATAAGAGATCAATAGAATTTCATGAATTTTTTCCACTAATTTTAATTTAATTTTTGCGTACAGATTCCAAAAAATTGATATTTTTCCAAAAATCTTTTTTCAACGATCATTGAAAAAATTGTCATCAAAATGGAATTAGTCACGGCTCCAAAAGTTGATAACGATACGCTACGGGGTTGCACAATTCCTTGTTGAGTTACAGCATATTGTTTATGCGATTTGAAAAAGAAAATCGGGGTTTTCATGATTACTGAAAGAATCATCAGTAGTAGCAATTAAATCAGGGCTTGAAAAGTATATTTCAATACCTTCTTAATCATGTTTGAAAACGGTGAGAACAGCATCGTTGCTTATCAAGTTACAGAATACGGTTATGAGCTTTTTATATGATAAATCTCCATCTCTATTAAACTTGTATATTAGTCTATTACGTTGCATACCTATTCATATTGATTCATGTTCCCGACTAACATCTGGCAGAACCTGGGTTAAACTGTGATTCAAATCTGAATAAACCGTGATTAAATCTCGGCTATACACCGATTAAACCTTGATGGAATCGTGATTAAACCCGGACTGAAAACGAATTCGAGTCGTGAGAGGGTCTGAATGTAGCATTATTTGATAGAACGAAATAATCCGAAAAATTTTGATTACATTTCCATTAATGATAATACTATGACATGAAAAAATAGAAGAAGAGAATAGTTAAATGAAGGTTTCAAAAAAGACCTCATTCGGAAGCACATTGCTAATTTATTAGCAACGATTACTAGTGGGAACTCAGATGGGGGCGGGGCGTAAGTCGTCGACCCTACATGCACGGGTTCACATCTTCGCCACTCGACAGTAGCTCCTTGGGAGAGATAGGGTTTGCAAACTTTTTACACGGATTAGTACCCCGTCCGATAGAGTATTCCAGTTCTTGACTTCCCAATACTCATTGTGACGAAGTCTAGTCTTCGCCTTATAGAACCACTCACAAGACTATGAGTAAACTAGAATTTTAACTGGATAAGACGTAGTTCAATGAGAGTACTTTACTTTCCCCCTTCCTACCCTAAGTACTGAAACTGTATACGAATAAACATAAGCATTACGGACCGGAGACTCAGGTCATCCCATGATCACCACCAACAGCAGATGACCCGAATGACCTAATCAACCTCTCGCCTGTGAGGAAAAGCGCGTTGATATGAATGGAACATCGAGTTCAGGAGATCGATAGAACTCGCCAGAATACTGGATGGAGCAATGCAATCATCAGGCGCCGAGAAGAAGTATCAACCGGAACTAAACAATTATCCTAAAGTAACAAATGGAAAAAGGGATAGAAGGATTGAATGATATCACACTGTCAAGATATTACACCAAACTTATCAACATCATCCTGAATCCTGCTTACAGTTGGAGGTTATGTTGCCCCAATGAACCAAGATTGACAAATACCGAAGCCAAAACACAACGTAGTTATCATACCAAGTCTACAGCGGATCCCGAAACAATTGGAGTTAATAACTGGATTTTTCCTGTTGGAAAATTCCCATATATTATTTATTTAAAAAAAAAATTCGGATATCAACATAATTCCAATGACAGAAGTATACATCGATAACTACAATTCCTGTAGAGTAACCCGGAGAGGTCGATAACTATGAATCCTGACGAGTTGACCCAATCTGCAATTAATTCTTGACTCTGACATTGACGGTGCTTGGGCCAAATGTTCCACCAATCAGTAACGAAAACCAGAATCTCAGGGAATTAATGATTTACCCTGACATTGGCGGCGTGATAGTCAAATCGATTACCCAATGCACACCACAATCAATGGAAAGCATGCCCATATAAGGAAATCATGTCAGGGAAATTGGGGGAATTTCATGAGAGGGACTCGGACTTAGATCTGGACATCATCGTTGTAGTAGTACGTTAAACTTAATGTCGTGGAGGCACATGAAACTTGAAAATATTTAGTTTCTTAGTTAGGTTAAGTTAATAGTCAGGTTCTAATTGATTAATTAGAAAGTGATATATCATCTTGCGAAGATCAGAATCATCTTTCCTGA